CGGGGGTGGGATGGGGGGTGGTTGGGGGCTTCACCGTCACCGCAGAGCGACCCCGGAGCCCCCAGTGCTGCCCACGGGGAGCTGAGAGGCAGCACAGCGCCTGTGTGGGGCACTGTGAGCGCTCGGATCGATGCGGCGCAGGGTTCAGGGCTGGGAAACGGCAGTAACTAAAGGAGCCGTTAATTAAACATCATAAAAGAGAAAGGGAGACGGAGCAGCAGCGAGCGCGGACCGTTGCTGTGCTCGTTCCGTTACCCACGTGCGGCGGCGACGGGGCGCCCCCGATGCGTCCCCGCGTGTCCCCTCACCTCTCGCTCTCCCCCCGCAGTCACCTCGGAGCAGATCGAGCAGCTCCATCGGCGCTTCAAGCAGCTGAGCCACAACAGGAAGACCATCCGGTACGGGCTGTCCGCTGGTGGGGTCGGGTTGCAGGGGAGGGGGAGGGAGGAGGAAGGCAGCAGCGATCCCTGGGCTCACGTCCAGGAGCATCGCACAGAGCTCCGTGCGCCGGGGACCCAAACCCTGGGCACAAGCATCACCCACTGATACACGGCGCTGCTCGCTGCCACTCTGAACCGGGGCAAAAGCTCACAATGGGGCAAAACCCTTTTCTTGTGGTGGCGTCGGAAGGATGGGCCGGGATTTCTGCCTGCAGCGTTCCCTCCCCTCCCGCCCTCTCTGCCTTGTTCTGTGCAGCAAAGAGGACTTCGACACCATCCCCGACCTCGAGTTCAACCCCATCAGGGCCCGAATCGTTCACGCCTTCTTCGACAAGCGGTAAGTGCAGCCCCGAGGGGGGGAGCATAGAATCACAGCGTGGTTGAGATGGAAGAGACCTTACAGCCCCCAGCCCCTGCCCTGGGCTGGTTGCTCTCACCAGCTCAGGCTGCCCAGTGCCCATCCGTAGCCATGAGCACCGCTGGGGATGGAGCACCCACAGCCCCCTGTGCAGCCTGGGCTGCGTGAAGGTTGGGCAGAGCTCTGGCCATGAGGGTTGAGCCAGAGCCAGGCTGGGAATGAGGGAAATCGGAGCTGAGCTCTGGGGAAACGCTGGCGCCGTGCTGAGCAGCCCTGGAGCTGCACGGTGCCCATAGGGAGGGCAGGTTGGGGCATTGCAGCCGCCATCCCCAGCAGCTCTGCTGCCATCAGGAACCTGCGGAAGGCGCCGGCCGGGCTGGCAGAGGAGATCAACTTCGAGGACTTCCTGACCATCATGTCCTACTTCAGACCCATCGAGATGGACATGGATGAGGAGCGGCTGGAGAGCTTCCGCAAGGAGAAGCTCAAATGTGAGGCGGTGCCGCAGGGCAGCGGGGCTCCGGGGGGCCGCACGCTGACCCCGCATCCCCTTCTCATCCCTCCCAGTCCTCTTCCACATGTACGACGCCGACTACGACGGGATCATCACGCTGCAGGAGTACAAAAACGTAACGTATGGCGGCAGTGGGGGCCTCCTCCTCCCCGCCGCCGCCTCGCCGCCCACCGCAGCCCCCGCTGCCCCGCAGGTTCTGGATGAGCTGATGTCTGGGAATCCCCACCTGGAGAAGGAGTCGCTGCGTGCCATCGCGGAGGGGGCCATGCTGGAGGCGGCCAGCGCGTGCATGGCCCGCACGGTGCGAGTTCACACGGGGGGCACAGAGGGGCTGGAAGGGGCCGTGGGTGCAGCTGCGAGGGTTCGTCTCCCGCTGTGCGCAGGGCCCGGATGAGGTGTACGAAGGCATCACCTTCGAGGATTTCCTGAAGGTTGGTGCCTCGCTCTGCTCCCCGCTGCCTGCCAGCACCCGGCCCTGCTCACCCCTTCCCTGCAGGTGTGGAAGGGGATCGACATCGAGACCAAAATGCACGTCCGCTTCCTCACCATGGAGGCCATCGCTCACTGCTACTGACCAGGAGCAGGACGGAGGCTTCCCAGCACCACAAGGCCTCGTTCCGCTCTCTAGAACCGTAAGAGGTATTTTACCTGTAATAAAAGGTATTTCTGTTTTTACTCTTTGCTGAGAAATGCTCCAGCTGCTGCCCGGTGCCTGATGGAGCTCCGTGTGAAGTTACGGCACCGTCTGCCTGACTGCACATCAACCCCAGATCTGCCACTGTGAGCAGAGCCACAGCACGGCTGGGATGGGGACAGCGGGGACACAGAGGGGCTGGAAGACACAAATGGGGGCACAGGGACACTGGGAGTGGTGGGTAAGGGGGCACCACAGGGACATAGGGATGCAGGGACGTGGGGGAGGAGGGATTGGGGGATGCAGGAATGTAGGGCCATGGGGACACAGGGCCATAGGGGGGACAGAGACTGGGGGACACAGGGACACAAGGACTGGGGGATGCAGGAGGAAAGGGTCATGGGGACACAGGGATGTGGGATCTGGGGACCCAGGAACGCAGGTTCCTGGCTGCTTGTGGCTGCCACCCCCACACGTTCCCACTGGAAACGGAGACAACACTGCATTTACAGCACTAATAACCGGAGGCTCGAGGCAGATCTCTGTCTCTAAGGCAGCCCGAGCCAGGAGGGAGGGAGCTGGAGAAAAGGGCAGTGGTTATTTTTAGAAAAGCTGGAAAAAAAAGTGTTTGTTTCTGTCTTACAAATCCATTCCCCTTATGCCACGGCGCTGCCCCCCACCCAGCAGTGGGGCACAGCAGCAGTGGGGCCCGGTGAGCTCCCCAGCCCCAGGGCTCAGGCGCGGGCTCCTTCCCTATGGGGACAGCACAGAGATGCTGCAGCACCGCACGGTGCCCCGGCAGGAGCTGTGTGCTGTCCTTCTCTCCTGAGAACTGCAGCACAGCACTGCATTGCTGCAAGGCTGAGGGGAAAAAAAAGCCCAACCTGCAGCCGCCGTTGCCTCTCCAGGACGTTTTCTTGGAGCATCAGCACTTCCCGCTCAGAGCTACTGGCAGCGGGCTGCACTGCAGCCAGCCCTACAGAGGATGCACGCAGTCACGGCTGCATGTGCTGCACCGGTGAGAACCCACCAAAGTGGGACAGCAGCCCTTTGCAGAAACAAAAATGCAGCTCCATCACAGCGCTCTCTGGCTGGGTGCCCTCGTTTGCATCAGGGATGCTGGCTGAACACACGGTGCTGCTGTTCACACCGAACCAAGCGCAGTGACGGAGCGGCAGCCTGCGAGGACCAGCCCACCCCAACCCACCACCAGGAGCTGCAGCCGAGGGGAAGGGGAATCCTCCTCCACTGGAGGGGACCCCACATCCTCCCAAGACCGCATGGCTCGGTCCCCAAGTCCATGACCACCAGCCCCACTGCTCCAAGCCCATCTTCTAGCAGCACAGCGACTGCTGCAGCTGTCAGGGCACAGCGCAGAGGGACGGATGTGTCCTTGTCACCACAGTGCAGAAAGAGAGGGGAAGTGGCTGCCCGGAAAAGGTCCTGACATGCACTGGCATGAGGCAACTTATCTGCTGCTGCTGGCAGAGGCAGATGGAGAAAGAACAAAGCTGCCCCGAGATAATGAGGGCGAGATAAGGAAGGTCAGCCTCCTAACGAGCCAAGGACACTGAGTGAGACGAGGCAGGGGGTGACAACCCTGAGGTGAGCAGAACAACAAAAGACAGCAGCTCTGTGCTCAGCCACAGGGCTCGAGCAACCCCAGAACTTACTGTGCCCTAACAGCTGTCACTTGCTGGACAGCTTTCATCCAAATTCTTCTCTGCTTCATGGACGCTTCTCTGCAACGTCAGTGCAGTCACCAACGCACTGCAGCCAGTTGGTCCCTCTGCTCACTAAAGCAACATGTAGCTCTGCAGCACGGACAGTCAGCAGCCCAAGTCCCAGCCAGCTGAGGACAGCCTCTGGTGCTGTTAGAGTGCTCAGCATGGGGACTGCCTCATGCTAACCTGACATGTGATGGGCCGTGGTTTCAGTTCACCCCAATAGACTCGGGAACAAAAGCCACAAACCACGCACATACACATAAAGAATCAGAAAATATTTAATTTAGAATTGTAGAGAATTAAAAAAATAATTTGCTTTAAAACCATTGCTATGTGTGTGACTTGCTGTGGGTTTCCAGTCATCCAGGCCGGACACGGCCAACATTCATCTCCTCATCAGCCCCATCATCTTCAGTGCCCCTGCCTGTTTCTGGACACATCCCGATGCACTCAAACAGCAGCTCATCATTAGGAAAGCAGTGCCAGACACATGGGCTCAGCAAGGTGCTTTCTCCAAATCCCATTTTTCCTCCCCCAGGAAAGGCACCTGCAGGCCGTGCCCTCCTTGCTGCTCTCTCCCATCTCAGCAGTTTGCCATCAGGATTCCTGCCTCCCGAGCAGCCCATGCCCTCTGCCAGGATGGGATCTGCAGCATTCCTCCCACAAGCAGCAGGACAGAACACTTCCGTTCACATCAAAGCGCACAGTTCCCCCTCATCCTCCAGTCTCCCTGCTCCTCTGCAGAGGATCTCTGGACCCTTGCACAACACGCTCTAGCAATCAGCTTGAGGGCAGCCCTGCTCTGCTGTGGTTCACAGCCCCATGTTTTCAGCTAAAGCTCAGTGCTTCCCACCTGCAACCAACAAGTCCTGCTGGTGCTCAGCCCCTCCGAGTCGCCCTTCTGCCTTCAGCCTCTCATGTGGCAGAGTGCTGAGCCAGGTGAGTTAGCTAGATGTGGTCGTAAGGCACTGCAAGGCTGATGTTGTAGTTGTAACCCATCACCTCGTCGTAGGAAGAGCGGCAGATGGGGAGGACGCTCTCCACAGCCAGCTGGTCCACAGAGAACTCGTAGGCATAGATGATCCCACGATGCCTGTATGAAATACATCCAAGACAGCACAGCATTGTAACTTCACTGTGTATTTCAGCAGGGATAACTGTCAGAGGTTACCTGAAAAGTCCAACATTCAATGCTTCAGAAGACGAACATCAAAGCTCGTCTTTTCTGCACTGGGGCTGTTTGTGCAGATGCAAGAGGAGAAGATTCTCTTCTGCCCCCCTCCAGGGACCCCCCAACCCCTGCCAACACACTGCATTGCCTTACAGACAGGTTCAGAGACGTAGCTGTTGTCTGCTGGAACACTGCTCACCCACTGGAGTGGGAGAAGGTAAGCACACCGCAGTTTGTCAGTTCCATCAGACACACTAATGCCCATAAATACCCAAATCTGCAGCTTAAGTACCAGCAGTTTTTCTTGAGGAGGAGACATCATCGCTAATATTTGAAGTAAGGGAAAGACTGCATTCTCTGACTTGCTTCAGAGGCCTTTATATTCACACCTTAATCACGAAATGCTTTTTTTCCTGTGCTCAGAAGTACGCAGAGAGCCAAAATTCATCAACACTTTTGAAAGGCTTCTCTGCGTTTTTTTTCCAAACACGCTTGGTCTCTGTTTGTGCTCTGGATGATGACTCAAGTGCATATGGAGCCGTTTTTAAAGGCAGTGTCACGCCGTGCTGCAGATCCCAGCCCTCAGAGCTGCGCTCACCTGCGGTGTGCAGTGAGGTCGTCGTCCATGATGCTGGCACCGCGGGGCGTTTTCTCATCAGGGATGTTGGCAGTGATGAGGCTGTGAGAGTTAAACCACACATAGCGCACCGGATGCCTGGAAAACAACCCCCAAGCGCAGTATTAAATGAGAACTCATCCAGCTCAGGGCCCCCCTCCAGCCAGGGGATCGGAGGCTGCGCCTTTGGCTCCTCCCCGCCTGGCGGCGCCGGATGAACGCAGCCTTTAGCACCACCTAGCGGACGGCTGCCGCAATGCACGCGGCGGTGCTGTGGCACCACCCGAACCTGGCAGCGGGGCCAAGGCCAGCAGCAGCGAGGCGCACGGAGGAGCTGGTTGCTCCCCAAGGGATCACAGCACTCCCTCTCCACAGCAGGGAGTGAGGGCTGATGCAGAGATGCCCTATGCAGCACATGTGAAGAGGGCTGGGCTTTCCTTCCCCCTAGCTGGTGAATCGGCTGACCCTGAACCAAGCAGGGCTAACAGCAGTAAAGACTGCTCATCTCCACCACCATAACCTTCCTCCTGCCCTCTCCCCTACCTCTGCCCTTGCCTTCCATTCACAGCACGGGTTACAGACACGGATAACAACCTCAGCATCTCTCCTCTACGAAGGCCTTTTGACTGAAGCATTCCTTTCCAAGTCCTACATAGATTGAACAGTATTTAAGCTCATGGTTTCACTTTGAGTACATCTCCCCTCCACCTCAGAGCTCAGCAGATCTGCACTGCCTGCCCTTCTTGGCATGCTCATTAGTGCTGCCCCAGAGGATAATCAATGCAGTATTGTCCTTAATGCACCGACTGCATCACACTGGGCTTTATAACTCACAGGGTCAAAAGAGAAGGAGATAGCTGCTATTAATTAACGACAACTCCCACTTGAACTTCTCCGACTGTAAATCTCTCATATCACCTCTGTGGGGGAGAAGCATTAATAAAATAACATCAGCATGTATTTGGGATGTATCTGTTCATTTGACTGAGAACAGTGCATCAGCTGGAACAGGTTGCCAAGGAGGCTGTGGATGCCCCATCCCTGCAGGCATTCAAGGCCAGGCTGGATGTGGCTCTGGGCAGCCTGGGCTGCGGGTTGGTGACCTGCACACAGCAGGGGTTGGAACTGATGAGCACTGTGCTCCTTTGCAACCCAGCCATTCTGTGATTCCACAACTCTATGATTTGGGCTTACTTGTGGCTAAATCCTTCAGGTCTTTATTCAGACAAAGCAAACTCCCCGGGAGTTTTGCCTCAATCAGAAAATGATAATTTGGCTAATAGAAGCCACTAATAGCCTTCTGTCAGCTCCAGGATCCTTATCTCAGCTTGTACTTTCAGCTCCTTCAGCACTGCCTGTTCTGTGCTTTCAGTACAAACTGTTACTTTCCTATCAGTGTCTGTGTGTTTAAATACCAATATGGCTTTGCTTGTTGCTGCTAAGGGAAACGTGGAGGAGCAGAACAGAAGCACAGGTACTGCAGGAAGTGTGGCAAGTAAAGAGAACCAGTCACAGCGGGGACAACAGGCAGCAGTACAGCACTTGAAGGCCAAGGTTTGGTAAGGTCAGAACTGATGGACGGGGCGGGGAGAAGATGCTAACTGAAGTCCAAAGGAAATCCAGGGGTGGAAAAAGCATCCATTCTCCCTTACCCTGAGCAAAAGCACCGTGAGAAGTGAAAAGCCCTCGCGAGCTAGCGGTGCACAGAAGCACACACACAGTCACCTGGCGTGCATCTCCCAGAGCTTGGCGCCCATCCGCTGGTCCCACACACACACCAGCCCATCTTCTCCCCCACTGACGATCTTCCAGTCGTCCATCTGCACTGCAGACACCCCCAGGCGGTGGGCAAACAGGGAGCACAGCGCTTCGCTCCCGCGCAGGTCGTACACCCTGACCCTAAGGGAGAGCAAAGAACTGGGATGAAAGCAGCTGCAGAGAGCACGTGTTAGGCTGCGGCAGTACATGTAGGGCAGTGGCACGGGTGGTTCTGAGGCAGACTTCTCGCGCTGTGCAGGATCTCACCATCTCTCAGCAGGTCTCAGGTGATAGAAATGAAATGTGGAGGTCATCTGTGTCTGTGCCCCCCAACCTGTGAGAAATGATGTGAGGAAGAAAGGCCATGCGCTCAGCACACCACTAACATCCCCTGCACCCAACCCACGTGCACTAAGGGCTCAGGAAGGATAAACTATTTCTATGGAGACAGAGGACTACACGTGTAGGAAGCCAAGAGAAAAATCAAGGGGATCACAGGTTTCTATGCTAGAGTTATGACTGAGTACACCAGTACTGAAACAAAGCGATCCTCAAGCACCAGCAACCAGTACCTCTTCTCAAAAGTTCACATACATATATGCATATATAAACACTCTCTCTATATTGTGACTTTGGGCAGCTTTCAGGTACACCTGACTCAAAAAGTACTCAATGAACAGTTTGAAGAGAGGCTATGATTAAAGAAGAACTTTAGAAAAAGAGGAGAGGACCTCAAGTTGTGCAACAGGTCTATAAAAACAGGTAAAGCCAAAAGTGTCATTTTTTACATCTAGTATATACCACAAAGGAGGATGCTTCCTCATCCTTACGTGTCAAGATTAAGATACAGCAAAAGAGATAAAATGCAGTGAGTGAAAACAGAAGTAAGGGGAAATACTGATCTCAGCTGAAAAGCAGCCAGAGAAAGTTCCTCCCAGCTGAAGGCTATCAAGAATGAAGCCATCAGGTACGCATTAATTCAAAAAAAGGCCAAATCACACTTGTTCCAACACATTAGCTGTATTCTGTTCCACGCTCTTGCCACGATCTTAATGGTGTGGCAAGTCTTTCCCTTTCCTTTCTCACACGGAGATTGCATCATAGGATTTTACAAATAACACATTTCAGCAACTGAAACAAAAGGCTGCAGAACGGTCCAAAACTCCAACTGAGCAACATCCATCTGACATGCAGAGAAACACGCTGGAACAGAGCGAGGAGCACGCTTTGTGTGGCTCTGGGCTCACCCCCAGGAAACCCCCCCCCAAACAGTTGCTGATAGTGGAAAGGACTTCTTGCTTTCTCCAGCTCCAACAGAGAGAACCTTTGGCTAGACATAAGAGCTGTGCTTTGGGTAAGGATGGGGTATTTTGGAAGTGCTCACACTCGGCACTCTCCCTGACTTGCTGCACGTGTTCTGTATGACAATCAAAGCTTCTTCTATTTGGTAAGCACAGTTGGAAACCAAGATGTATCCTGGTTATTTCATTAGCAAGGGTCCAGGTTTCAGGCAGGTGTCCATTCTGGCACATCCTTGGAAGAATTAGAGTCACATGAGTCGCTTAGATGTGCTTACAAAAAAGAAAAGAGCATTTTGCAAATCTAATGTGATGCTCTAATGTGCTCTAATGCAGACCTGGCACTGCCCTCCATCTCCTGCCTCAACAGCTGGGCTCAGTGGGAGCACATTGGGCTCATCCCAGTTGAAGGGAGCTGTAAGGAAGGTGCTCTTGTGAAAGGCTGTGACTCTCCTGTTCCATTGCTTGAGCAGTGATTGCTTTTGGGAGAAGACAGAACACAAGTTTGGTTGCACACCTTTCAGCAGTAGCACACACTGGGCTTGCCACGCTGGCTTTCCCCACGCTAATCACTGTCTTAGATACCCACGAGGCTGCAGTGTGTTAGCAGACACCCTGCTATCAGATCTTGCACTGCTGTGAAGCACAGCCATGTTATCACATCATCCAGCAGTGCTTCAGGAGAAACATTTTCCAAGTGCTGCATTTAATTCCACCAAGACATTCTCCCAGAGGTGGTGTGGCAAGGCCCTGCTGAGGGGCTCACTCCATAGCAGGGCAAGCGAGGTCCCGGCCCCAGCCCACCTGTGGCTGCCCAACACGTCTGAGCACCTTTCAGGCAGCTCCCTGTGAAGAGCTGACCTCTGAGATACACGTGGCTCTGTCTCCTGGATGCCACACTTATTTGCTGAGCTATTGATTCCTCACGTCTTGTTGGTTTAGTGATGGCCAACCCCTGAACTCAGCTGGTGCTTGAGCTAAATACAGCTGAAAAGCTTTCTTCAGGGGAAAGGCCAAGACATTTACTCTGGTATAAAGGGAGGACATTTTAATCTCACTTAGGGGCTATTAACTTTATCTGCTCTCTCACCACTGTGGGAAAGATTAAAATTGCAGGTAGTTTTACCAGGGTGCTTTGGAAAATCAATTATATGCTTTTAGAGGAAAAAAAGCAAACTCCCAAGGATTCAGTTACACATGTCAAACTTCAGATATTTCCTTTATCCCCATGCTGAAGAAGTGTGAGGTTTGCTTCCGCTGCCTATTCACTGAGAGAGGGGGGAAAGAAAAAAAATGCTGTTTGACAAAATAATCATTTTTGCAAGCTGCTGTGCTGGCGGGATGGAAGGCTGGGATTTGGCAGAGGGAAGCACCCGCCTTACAAGCTGATACCCACATCCACACCAGAGCACCACCTGCAGCCTGGTGCCCAGCGCGGAAAGGAGGAGGGAAGGAACCAGGAGCCATTAGAGACTGGCTCCTCGCCACCCCACATCTCCTTTGGTGCACTGGATCAGACCCCGCACGCAACCAGCCAAAAAAGAAAACCCAAAAATTGGACTCAAAGGGTCTTTTTAAGCACTTTAATCCTTTCGCGCTGACTGTTCCCAGCGCGTCCATTCCTGGCACCAGATACTGTGCAGGGAAAATCCTGCTCCCCAAGCCAAGGAGTTAAAGAGAAAGCTGCTAATCAGCTAAATAGAAGTTGGAATCTGTTCATATGAAAGTCTCTCCTTTTTTTTCTTTTTTTTTGTCACCTGAGGGACATCGCAGTGTTCTGAAATACACTCCTGACATCGCTTGGCAGACGGACCCATTTCATCCTACGTGATTCATCCCTTAGGTTATTTTTTTAATATCAGAAAGTGAGCTTTTAAATGCCAAGCTAATTTTGCGGGTGGTGGCGGGGAAGTGGAAGATATTCCAAGTGGTCTCGCTGGGCTGTGCACCAACTGTGTCCACCAAATGGCTCAAAAAGAAAGTCTTCCCATGGAGCTTTCCGAAACAAAGCAAACTGGCAGCCACGTCCAACTATTACCTAATATTTTGTTCCTGAAGTTCACGCTGGCTGCGTTTGAAACATTAGAGGAGAGACAAATCCTAGCAGGTCCAGATGTAGGACAGCAGGACAGGAAGTAAGCTAATTGGAGAAGGGTTACAGCTCTTGGTGGTACCTACCTTCTGTCTTTATTGCCTGTAACGAGCATGTTTGGAGGACTGTCCTGGAGGTTGACGCATGTAAAGTCACCCATGGAGTTGCCTAGCTTCCTTAGACACTGACTCGTTTCCAGGTTGTAAAGAAGAACCTGGCAGAAACAGAACAAACACTGGCTAAATGCAGCGTGAGCACAGCTACCTTTTGGTGCAGTGGGAAGCAGAGTGCAGTCACCGCCATCAGAGCTGCTTTGCAGGGCTCGTTTCTCACTGTTCTATTGCAGCCAACATACAGGCACTCCCTGTCAAGGACAGAAACACACATGCAGAAAAGAAAAAAAGAAAATCAAAGTCTCACAATGGAACCCACCACACAGCTGGGGCGAAGGCTCTTTGCAAGCCTTGTAAGACAGGCAGAGGTCCAGGCAGTCCATAAAGCCATACTCGTTTTCTCCAGGTCAGTTTTTACAGGTTCACACGGGTAAAGAAATCACCTGACTTGCTTTTCAACTTGCATATTTGAAAGAATAGCAAAAGGAAACAGAGTCAGCACTTGTAAGGTTTAGACAGATGGACTGTGCAGAAAGATTCCATCAAACAGAGCAAAAACTGAAGAGCAGAAGTGCACTGACTCAGTGCTGACAGGCCCTGCGACCGGCTTTGCGCAGATGAAGAGAAATCGTGCATCTGAAATGGCAGCTCAGATGGGAAAGGAACAACAACAGCTCTGATTTTAGGCTGCATCCAGGATGCAGGGAGGTACGAGCCGTTTCCCTTCTGCTCACCCTCCTCTGTGCTGCACAGCAATCAGTTTAATTATGTTCACTGTCTCCCCTGTGGGGCCAGATGAGGTTGATCTGTTTGGGCCTTTCCACAAAAAGGGAGGAAGTATTTTTAGATCCAGCAAAACATACTGGGCAAAGTCCAGTGAAGCTCAGTGAAGTTCTCAGCTTAACACTGACCTCAAAAAATTACTGCATTTCATGGTGACGTCCCTTTAATTGACTCATTCAATAAAAATAATCATCTATGACCGTGAAAAGAGAAACAGTACTTAAAATATCAGAAAAACAACCAAACCCTTATGGTTTCCATGGCAATACCAGCGTGGCTATGTCAATGCCACGTGAACGTTCCCACCTTGTGCTTTTCTGATTACATCCTCACACGGTTCAAGAAATATTACACTGTCACAGCACACTGCTTCCACGCTCAGCAGAGCAGTGACGTGATGCTGCCTGCCCTTTCACTCCCTCACCGTGCAATTTGAAGATGCATCTGAAAGGTTGAATTAAGAGAGCAGGAGATCATTCTGTGATGGATGTCTCCAAACCTCTAGGAATAAAGCAAAGATGTTGCAGGCTTTCTCCTGCCCCCATTTCTTCCAGTTAAAAGAAACGCAGAGTTTTATCCACATAAATTATCAAGTTCTCCACTAGAATGAAGACACTCATATCCAATACACTCAGTTACTTACATTTATCATCTCCTAACCAGTTCCCTTTTCCTACAGTATAGTGCTGTACAAATTGCTTGCCACAAATACCATTTCTAGCACGTGTTTTTTCATCCCTGAGACCAAAACAAGAAACGCAAACCAAAGCAATTTCACCATATCTCTGTACAGTAAGAGATTCTGCCTTTGCAGGGAGACTTGAAAGCTGTTAAAATAATGTAAACTTCCATTCCAATAAAGTAGCTGCTACAAACTGGAAGTGTTTGTCATCAAGATAAAAAACAACACACACAGAACAGCTCCCAGCACCTCCCTAAACAAAGACAGGGTGAACCACATTCTGGCAAAGGCACTTTGCAGAATTCTCAGTGCAAAGAAAATGAGCATCTCTGCCTTGCATCCAGATTTCTCTTTGGGAGGTCTTGTTGGAAAAATACAAAGTCAACACACTGCTGAACTCAGCGTGCAAATGACAGACGATGGGCTCAACAGCAACACTGCAGCTCCCAGCGTGTGCCCTGCAAGCTGCCCTGCCAGCTCTGCTTACAGCTCTGGACAGGAGAGGGGCAAATGCTGCTTTCTCCAAAGTCCCCTGGGAATACCACTTACCATGAACATCCAAAGCCTATTAATTTACCTTAACGACCAGTACTTCTGTCTCTCCTGTCAACATCTGATACACACTTGAACAGCGATGACCATGGAAGACCATAAAGATGAATTGCTTGCACGTAGCATTCGAAGTTTTGCTGCTTAAAATCTGAGCAAATGTTCCATCCTTTCCTGCTTGTGGTCCAGTTTTAGACCTGTGCTACTCTCCTACGTGCAGCCCCAAATGAAAAATGACTGTTTTCTCCTCACCTAACATGCTGCTGCCCATCACTTCCAAAATGTTTCCATCTTTTAGAATCTGTAGAAATAACGTTTCAGATCCACAAAGCTGCTATAAAAGCTTTTGTTTTGAGCTTCCTTAATTCATGTCAGTCTCCAGTCTTTGAAAGATTGCTTTTTACAAATGTTTACAATGCAGATGAGCATTTCTAGCCAATGAGCCCAACCACTTGGTAGGAAGGTGCTTCCTGTGATTTCCACCCAGCTCCCAGGTGAACTTCAGTCCTGGTCTGCAAATGAACTTCAAAACCTGGTAGGTAAAGAAACAAAAGGAGCACAGAATGCGTTTTGAGGTCTGAATAACTTCTTGGATACGGAGCTTTAAAAGCATACTGATAACAATTTTGAAGATGCTAAAACACCTCTGATGAGCTCTTCTCTAGTGCCTCAGCAACGAGGATTTTCTTTAAAAAGGCCAAGGAGAACGAGTGAAATACCTGGTCAATAGGGACTTGAAATAAGGGCCTGTATGTTAAAGGGCAGATAAAGCATAAGATCTTTAGGAGGTTTATAATCCTATAATGCACACTGCAAAGGGATTACCCTTTCAAAGACATTTATAATCCTATAATGGCCACCCAAGACCAGTGACCTAACAGTCACAGACCTGAAGGTAAGCAAACCAAGAGCACTTGGGTGTGAAATGAAGTACCCTGGGATAGCACACTAACGAGCATCCCAGCCCCCAGGGGACTTCTGGGGCACAGGGGAGGACAAGCATTAAATACTCCGTGCAGATGTATCAGGATCTAATGCACAAAATAAAAAGCGTTACCTATTAACATTGTTCAAATGAAAAAGTCTGAGTTATTGGATGAGAGCCAAGCAATCTCCCAGAATGCTTAATAATTCAACAAGCCAGAAATAGCTAGAGTACCTTTACCATTATGTTTAGTTAAAGACCACAGAGATTAGAAAACACATTATCCATCTCAGAGGCGATTCTTTCCATGTTACAAGTCCCTTAACGACCTTTACCATCTCTCCCTCTCTCTCTCTCTCTTTTAATAAGGCTGAGCAAATGGGACTTCATTTTATCCGATTGCCACAGACTGGTGGTATTAATTATTCATGCTCATACTCTCTTTTGTTAAGGCAGTGCATTAGACTAATTTCCCTCCTTACTGCCCGAGTTGGGCAACTCTCAACCTGTGGCCACCGTCCTCGGATGGATGGACTGAGCAACTGGCAAACCGGTGGGCAGAGGAAGAAAGGAAAGCTTGCTGCACTCCAGGAGCTGCACACCGGTGGGTACAGGAAGCTCCCTTTAAATGCTGTCCAAGAACTGAAGAAAGAAGGCTACATTAATTCAGCAAGTCCCTGCAGCCAGGATAGCTAAGCTGTGAGCTTCGTTACATCTTGCAGCTAAGTGAGGTCAAGCATACTCTGTGCACTCTGGTTGAGATACTTCCAAGAAAAACCAAGGAACTGAAGGAAATGCTGCTGATGGAACTCTTCCATGCATGTCCAACACCCCAGCAGGTGTTTCGGGATCCTGTGTTGTTGGAGATGTCTTTTTTGGATGGAACATTAAAACAACAAATCCCCGAGCACTTGTTATCAAAGAGCCTGTGGTATTTTCAGCAAGAGCAGGGGTGTTCAGCCCACTGTCCTGGCTGCAGGCCAGCAGAGCTGCTTTGTGCAACTGTGTGCTTCCCCTGCAACCGTGCTTCTGCTTCTTGTCCTGAGCCACTGCAGCTCTGGGCTGGTAAAGGCACTGCCTCTTGGAATGGGGAAGAACTCTTTCTATATAGTATATTTAATTCTTATTTTGATGAGGTATTAGATAGGAAAAAGCACGTTGAAAGCCGTGCTTCCAAAGCCTACATCTTTGCCCTTACTGAGTGACATAGGATGCCTTCAAGGACTGCTGTCTCAGTAACTGCCTGGATGGAGGTTTCTAACCACTGACTACAGAGAGCAGTGAGCAGAGGATCAAAACAAGAACCCCAAAACTGCCTACATTTGTTTTAGGATTGTGTTTTGCCTCCTTTCCTCCTGCCCATCCCTGTGCCAAGCCAAGGGAACACTGCCTGAATACACACAAATATGACCAACAAGAGATGGGGATGTGACATTTCAAGTCCACAGTGGATAAGAAGGGATCTGGCTTTTGCTCAGGTTAAAACCGTTCCATTCAGAGAATAAGCACAGAAGTGACAGGGCTATTCCATATGCATTTGTGAAAAAAGCCATCAAATTAAGTACAGCACACGGCTGCAAGTTGGAATTCTATTTCTAAAGGGATGCAGAAAAAATATTTTCAAGGTTCACAAGTCTCAGAGGCGCAGTTTCCTACTGCAAATGTGTTGCATTGCCTACTGTAAATATGGCACGTAACACTGCAACAGCAACAACAAAATCTGCCTGCTAACAAATGCAAGGTCAGCATGTTGGTACTCGCACACAGAGATAAGTGTGCTGGCTCCATAAATTTAAAGATGAGCTAAGATTTAAAAGGAGCAGATGAGGGAGACAGACAGACAATCAGAGAGAAAGAAAAAGAGTAAATCATACACAAAACAGCCAGCAAGAAAAAAAAATTAAAAAAGCAGTTAATATACATGAATAATGGATGCTTGATTTAAAAGCAGTTTACTCCAATATGATGTAATTTTTGACAATCAGCCAGAGAGACTATTTTGCAGGTTCTTGCCAGATATAAGTCATTGTGTGAAGCTGGTAACAACATTTCTCCGAGCATGTGGAAAATTGACTTTCATGCCATCCTAAAGGTGACTTTCTGCTGGCAAGCAGGAACTCTTACTTCACGTGCTCTTAGCTGCACCGAGCAGCCTTCAGCAATGCTTCAAGACCTGCACAGAGAATTACAAAAACAGTCTGCAGCAAACCCAGCCCAGCTGCCAGCCAAACACGCTGCCTGCTCCTCCAAACAGCCACAGCTGCCACCCAAGTTACACACAAAGCTGAAGACAAGCACAGGACAGCTCTTCCTTCTAAGTTTTCCTTTGACTGGAGTCACAAGAAAGGCTGCATGCTGGTGGAAAGAGGCAGAGCCAAGCATTGCCCAGGCAGTGCACAAACCCCAGGAAAGCAGCTCTGCCAATGCACCTGCAACCCCTGCTGCTGCTCCAGCACTGGACACATCCTGGGCACAGACTGCCAGCTCCAGTGCTTTGCCAGACCCGATGGGTTTGTGGTGCTGACAGATGTCTGCGAGGACCTGTGGTGAGAGCACCGGGCTCATTTAACTCATGGCTGAAGTCTGATGTAAGAGTTCAGGTATCCAGAGATGCGAGTCAAGTCACCACCCACCACGACACAAGCAGCAGCGTGGAAGCTCTCCTTCCCTAAGCCAAGGAGAGGGCAGGTGAAGGGAAGGCAAAGTAGTTCTTAAAAATGGAATGAATGGCTTTGGTTTCATAGATCAGCACCTGGAATAAACATGGCACATCCCAGCAGCTCTGTTTGCAAAAGCAGAGACAATCGCCACCAAAGAAGCCGTGCCAATTTTGAGGTATTCACATTGATGTGTGAATAGGAAAAAACCCCAACCTGAATGTCATTAACATCAGCCAGGAGAAGAGAGCTTTATTTGTCAAGCTGCAAAATGATTCTTTGCAAGCAGAGAGAAACCAAGATGGATTATTGTTGCTTTTTGGTGAGACAGAGATTAAGTGATATATCCTGCAAAATTTAGGCAAAGAAAACTCCTGCTCTCTCAGCAGGCTGTGCTCCTCACAGAGCACTGGTGGGCACATCCCTCCTGTCCCCTTCAGTCCACAGCAACTGAGGACAACAAGAGTTTGGAAAGATGAGCGCATTGAAAGTGCTTACAGGATTTGTGCTGGCTAAGAAAACTGAAAAGCACTCACAGAAAACTGAAATCTCCAGAACTGGAGCCATTGTGACACCAGGAGAGCCCATATAAGATCACTGGTGCCCAAAGAAAAGGAATTCAGCTACAAGAGGGTAAAGATGTAAAGGTTTACATGGAATATCTGTGACCTAAAAACATCACCCAAGAGAAACTAAACTACAAGATTCAACTGCCAGGATTTTTTTACAACTTCTGGTTTTTATTTTTTTTTTATTCACATAAACCAGTTCAGACAAACTGACGTTAGCAGGCAGCTGAAGAACTCTGCAGAAATGTTACATACAGGTGCACAAAGAGGCAGCGTTTCCATGGCTGATGAGAAGAGACAGGTGATACTGAGCAGCATCCATCAGCACAAGCCAATCATCAGCCCAGAGCAGATGAAAACATGACAGCAGAACAAACAGCTCCAGAGCGCTGCTCCCAGCACACCTCCCTGCAGCCTGTGACATGGGGGCCCCGAAGCCACGCTGCCCTCCTCCCACCCTCATCCATCCCATCTGAAATAACGGTGAAGGTTGTGCAAAAATAAAATCCTGCCACGATGACAGAAGGTAATTAACAAGAATTGCTGAAAACAGGAAATGATTTCAGCTAAGCTTCAAATGCAGGAGAATAACTCCACCAGGAGATTAAAGCACCTGTGCATCGCACTGAACTAACTCACAAGTAGGACAAGTGGGCTTCTCATGAGTCCAGACTTACGTGATGGAAGTTCCATGCAGGGAAGCTTATCAGTATACAAAGTATAAGAAAAGCTTCACTCCATCAGTGAGATACACGCACCAGAAATCTGATCACAGAGTTAATCCTTACTGCCCAATTCAGATATCCTGGCATGAACAGCACCAGAACTACCTCTAGATTAAAACTATGGATGCCTGTGGAGTTAGGAAATAGTTTCACACAGTGTGCAAACAGGTGAGCAGCAGAGCTCTCCCAGCAGCTCAACATGGGGTAACATGCAGTCTGTGCAGCACCAGTCTGCAGTACATCGCCTGCTCTGTACTGTTACCCACCCATAAGCCAAGGGGGGAACAGAGGCCTCTGTGTTTGGATTTGGCACTTAAGGAAAACAATACACTGCGCTTTAATATAGCTGAAACATCCCTAAATAAAGAAGTTCCTGTTAGCTCAATGGTTTAAAAAAAAAAAACAAAAAAAAAACAAAGGGTTTGAGGAGCATTCATAACTTTCAATATGCACCATCCTCAGGCTGACAGATGCTTACTGAAGTGGGAGGTGAACTTTCTCCCACAGATGAAGCATTGCTGTTCCTCCCTTCTCCTGCACGGATGTCTATCATCTAACAAGAGGTAAGCCTATGCTGTGGATTTCATGTTTTTCTCCTTTCCAACATAAAAGTGCCTACAAAATGTATGCCTCAGATCTCGGCTCTGCTGTCATATTTGGTTAAAATTAGACAATGATTAAAAAAAAAAGAGGGACAGAAACGATTTCCCTGCCTGCACTGCCTTCAGAAAGCAGGTTACCACTCAGTGTTAGGCTCATGCGCCGACACTCAACAAGAAAAAAAACCATCAGGAAAAACAAAGAGAACCCAAACAGAGAGGCAACAGCTTTTCTACCACAGCAACACAGCCAGCAGCAAATGGGGTTGGAATTCTCCACGAGCAGGTTTTGGAGATCAAAAGCTCTCCTCAAGACAGATTGTCAACTCATGACCGGCGTAATCAACCAATGCAAAGTCCCTTCACGTCTGCGAGAGGTGAGCAATTATCATCAGAGACATTAGTAATTAATTTCCGGTGTGATGTCAGCTGCTGCAGCAATGCCAAGCACGTGTCCTTGTCAAGCACGGCCCGGCCGTCTGGGCAGCAGCAGCCCCATCTCCTGATTAGGATGTGGGCTGATGTGCTGCTGAATGCAAGCTGCCACCAAGCACTGCAGGGCTAAAGGAGATGTGTCCGGCTGTAGCTATGGAGATTTCTCTGCTCCTTATGAGGCACAAAGATGACCGCCATTGTAATGCAAATGAGGCAGTTTTACCTTCTAACCTCCCACCTCTGTGGGGAAAATAGTTGGATTAGGACAGCAAAGGAAGTAAGAAAGATGGCACAGCCTCGCAGCACCTCCCATCCCTACAGGTGTTTATGGTGGGCTCTGCATTTCCCCTGGGAACATGAACTTTGTGGAGAATCAGATGATGAAGGTGGAGAGATTTATCCCTAACAAAGTAGTCCTAAATAAAGCCTTTTTGTTTCAGTCACTTGCCAAAGAAAACAGTGCTCTTGTGCAGACCACAGCTCCTACCTTCTGGATGTTCACCTCTACCTGCCCAGGCACTCCTCTTCCACTCAGCTGATGGCCTGTTATATGCTGCAGCACAACCACAAACATAACAGACTTAAGCAATGGGCAAGTTAGGCAAGATGCAGGAAAGGGACGGAAACACTTAAGCAACTGGAAGGAGGTCTGCCTGCAGCCTGCTCCCTGCCCTGGAGAGGTGAACCGAGGTGGAAGGGTTGCACCCAGGAGCATATTTCAGAGCCAGAAAGATATACGGTTCTTTCTGTTACCTTCCGGGATGCAAGAGCCCAAGAACAGCCCATCCTGAAAGCAGAGAAGTTTGAGAACAGCTGCATTAAAACAATGCCTCAGCCACGAGTCTGTAGCAGTTACCAAATGAGCGCAGTTTCCATCTACCTTGCGCTGCCAAGATGTGCTGATGAAATATCTGACTGGGTCACAGAGGCTTCAAACCTATGACCAGCATGGAGCTTCCTCTGATGCAGCAGCACCACCACTCTCACTGGTTTAGAAGTAACTCAGCTCAAACACTCAAGTGTACACACTGAAAAAAGCCTCCTCCCAGAACTGCGCATCAGCACACGCAGGGCTCGGCACGCTGCTCAGGATGTCCTCACTACAGAGGCTGGAGAGTGCATTTTTTGTTTCTTTGTTTAGAGAGGTTGTTTATTTTATTTTTTCTGGTTTTGGATTGTTTTCTTCTTGGTTTTGTTTTTTTTGAGACTAGTTCCCCCTAGAGGACCACTGGTGCAGCATACAGCTGGTACTGAGGAGCAGAGAGCGCAAAGCAGTTACACAGTGAACGCAGTTAGCTGAACAGTAACCCCTTCAGCTTACTGTAAGAAATCAGCAACACATTACTGTACTTAAAAGTGTTTTCCATCTACTGCCACCCAAAAAAAAAAAAAAAAAAAAAAAAAGCTCAGTAGTAGAGAGGAAAATGATCCTTAGCAGAATTTTTCATGACACAAGCGCAAAAACACGACAGAAAGCATTAAATACCTGGTTGGGCTCATTCAGTATCCAGCCAAAGCCTTTGACCCCAAAGGCTGCTTCATGAGCAGAGACATCAAGACATGTGACAGGCTGACCATAGACAGAATGAAGGATTTTCCCAGGGTCTTCTCCTTTCAGCAGATAGACAACATCTTCTGCAGCTGCTACTGCCACCGGACTGCCCCAGACCTCTGGAACCAGATGAAGGAAGTTCACCTAAAAAGAGCAGACTTCATTTTTACTGCAGACAAAAACTGTTTTAAATCACTGCTGCGATATGTTAAACTAACAAGCTACTGATGCACAGGTTACCCGTGATCTTGAATCATCCCAGTTACAAATTACTTTCAGATGAAGTCTGAGCATCAACTTTATTTCAGAATATCTGCAAATTTAGCTCCTGTGATGGAACACAGCTTACAGACAGCATGGATCCAACTACAAGGGAGAGAGTGTTGTTTTAACACTGTTACTAGGAACATTCTTCAAACGTTTGGGGATTTTGTCTATTTTTAAGTACTGTAGGACTGGCAGATTTGAAAGAGGGGATGAATCAGGAATGGTTTAAATTGACTTCATACCCATTAGCTGCGCAGTTGATTTCCTGCAAAAGAAAAGTTGCAAGGCTCCATTTTTTTCTTACACAATTCCTTCCCCATTTCAAAAAGGGTTGACACACTGAGCCATCATAAAACTTCAGAGAACGGGATCGCTCTTGGTTTTTAATTAAAACAGCCACGAAAGTTCAGTGACAGAAGGTGCAACCTGAAGGAGCTGCACAACCAGTTACAGCTTCACAAGTGATACTATTAGCTCGTCTGCAATATCCTGCCTCAGAATTAATCAGATAGCATTCATCTGGAATGAGACCTCGAGTTTTAGCTCCAACTCTATGCGAGAAAACTGATTTACAAGATGAGCCAACTTAGCTTAATGTTGACAAAAAAAAAATAATTGATAACAGCCAACCTCCTGCACCATATGGACTTCTGTTCATTTTCACTTGTAGCTTAAGCCAGCACTGCACCCTTGCTCCTCAATAATGAAAGGTTCATCCATTAACCTGCTGCAGAATCACTGCCTCTATCTGATAGTGCCGTTATCCAGCTCATACAACACTCCTGTAAGATTTTTAAAAGATCCCTCTTAACCATACCAAAAATAATCAGTAGATCACGAGCTCCTGGAATGAAGCTGGGCAATCTGGAGACTCACCAACTTCTGGATTTCGAATGTTCCTGTAGTTTGCCAGAATCCCCTGTCATCAGGGCTTTCCACCTTGACCTCTAAGCCAGATGCTGTTGCTACTGTTGCACCCTTGGAACCCAGAGCTAAAGCCTGTATCCTCTGGTTATGCTGGTAGCGATGGATTGGCTCACGCCCCACCATCAGGCTCCAAACACTCACAGTACCTGCACACAAACACAAAGCAAACACACGTGAGAATTTAAGGAAATCTTGTAAGATCAGCTGAAGATGCAAGCTTATAAATGTTCTAACAAAAACAGTATGCGTGCATATGGGAAAGAGACTCTAGAGCATGGGACCAGAGTTTCAGCACAGAGGTTCAGAAGGAACTCTCCAAAATGATGGGTACAGGCGCTCGAGGCTGTGCTGCTCTCTGCAATTCCCAAGCTTAGTTTTCAGGTAACTCTGGTATCTGTCTCGAGGAAGACTGCTTGACTTCTCTCCTACACTTGGAGAAGACTGGACCTAAACCTCTGATGATTGGACTTGATCATCTCTGAGGTTTTTTCCAACCTTCATGATCCTATGGTGCTGTGATTTCTAAATTCTTCTTCTTCCACTGAAGTAACACGAGCACAGCGAGGAAGAAAAACGTGAAGCTCTGACACACAGCAGTCAGGCCACAGACATTAACACCATTCCTAACAGTCAGCAGCAAAACTCTGAACAGTGACACTCTGGAAAACAGAGTTCAAAGCTTTCAGAAAGCCAAAGAATGCAAACCTCAAAGAATACAGGAGTGCAAGTCAAGAGAAAATGCATTTGCAATTGCAGATTTTCCTTGCACAGATCACCAATGCTCTATTTAAAAGCATGGTACATTAAAGCAGCAATCTGAATAAGAGCAACCTGAAGCAATTAGGAGCGTATTACAGAGCAGAAGGGCCAGACAGAATTGGAGACTCCCAGGCCGCCTTTGCACTGAATTAACAGAGAAGCAATCTTCAGACATGACAAGAGGAGCGGGGCAGGAGAAGCCTTCTTCCTACGTGAGTATGCCCATTAATGATGAAATGATTAATGACAGCTCTTCCTTCAAAAGGAGACATAAAAGCTCTGACAGACAGCTGCGAACGGGCACCAATGCCAGTTTGCAAACACTCCTCCCGTGTCCCAGAGGAGGTGAAGCAAGAGTGTGGTAATGAAACTGCACAGAGCAAAATGGTATCTAAATGAGTTTAAATTGATTTATGTTTGCTTTTGTAAAGATTATTTGGTATCTGGAAAGTGCTACCAATGTGAAATAATGCAGATAATCCTTAAGATCCCCGTCTAATGGCACTCCCACTGAATATTTATATTCCTCGCCATGGGAACGTGCACCATAATGGGGACCATTTTTGTTTTATTAGGGATGCATATTTAAATTAATCTGCTATTTGCCTAAACAATTAGCTGCCTCTGTTTGTTCACACAAAGCCAAAACTGCAATTAGGCTTCCATCAAAGAGATAAGTCCCGACTCAAACTGTCCCGATGGAGTCGTAAGGGCTGCGAGCAGAACTTCCCAAAATTACTTCTTAGCATAATGGTAATTATGTTAATTGCTTGAAAGGTAAATAACCACTGAGCTGGTTTTGAGCAACACACCACTGGCCTGCAGCACACACAGAGCTGTAGGGAGAGCTGGCATTTAGGGGTCTGCTCCCCAAAGCAGGCAGCAAATCCACTGCCACTGCCTCTCAAATGAGAGGACAGAGCAAGCACACTGTGCAATCATGCAGTCTGTTCAAGGCAGGTATGCAGCTTTTCACCAAATGTGTGACAGTCATCTCTTCCAGAACACCTGAAAGTTTCACAATATGGTGTTTGCAGCAACTGATGCACAATATGGTGTGAAAATATCCTCAGCGCCACCAAAAAGCAACTGACTTGTAAGGTCACAAGTCAACACAAGGAGTGAAAAGAATGCAAATGGAATGCAAAGAGAAATACCACTTTATTTCATTGGGATGAACCACTACTTCAACATGAACAACAACTACACTGGAAAAGCAAACACTCCACTGTATTTATCAAGAGATAAAATTGCTACTACTTCTAGAAGCGCCACTTAACAGCATTCTCTACTCTGCTTTTCATTGCATAGAAAGCAAAATGTATTTATTAGCATGTAACCCTTTGCAACAGTTAATCTCGTTTGTGCAATAGCACAAAAATATCACCATTACAGTTGAAGATATCAGTATGGCAACACAGGAAAAATTAGGCTTAAGATTTACCAGTGCAGATGAGATCACTGCTTTACATAGTCTATCTTCCTGTCTCCAGCACTCTCTAGTACTTTCCAAAGCAGAAATCTTTGCTAAGGTGAAGTTAAGGCTGCAAGCACGTGTGTGTTTTCTTTTTAATTCCTTTTTTTTTTTTTTTTTTTGAGTACTGAAAGCCATTAAATCAAAGTTATACGTAATAATTTCACAGCAGGCTGAAATCTGCATGGCAACTGTGTTTATATTAAGTGAACTCCAACAATAACTCCTGGAATTTGGACTTTGCAGAGCTTTGTCTTGGCTCAGGAAATGAGTTAATTGCAAGAGGCTGCTGAAAATGGTACAGTTGCAGACACTTGACATTACTGGTCTTCTTATTTGTCACTACAGCCCAGGTTGTACAAAGGATGTAGGCTTGTAGCTCACCCAATATACTGCTGAAATGTGGCCTGGGGAAAGGTCCAGTTATCGCAGCTGACTTTATGCTGCAGGATATTCGGGTAACACATTTAACCATGGCTCTATTATACCTCACACAATGCACTGCTGACATACTGTAGTCCATTCCAGCAAACATCAGCAGCACTGCATGCACTCCTGCTGTGACAAAGGAGGGCTGGGGTGATTCCTCTGTAATGGGGCGGCCTCCAGTACGGCTCTTCATATCTGGGAGCACAATGGCACCCTGCAAAAGCAGCTGCATGACTTGGGAGGCAGTCATCTCTGGCCTGGAGGTGAAATCACACCCCATGGAGCCAAATCCACGGACACCTGTACACATCTCTCAGGAATAAATGTAAATGTACATCTATAGATACATGCTTTGTTTAAAGAACAAACAAAGAAACTTCAAACAAAAGAAAAAAACAACCCCCAAACCCAAAAACTTTCCTTAATTTGAGGCAGCCTGCCTCCTGCTGTAGCTTTTGCCTAGCTCTCCATGGTGCTTGGAGGAAGATTCCCATCACATCACTCCACTTCTGCATCTGCAAGCAGGGCATGGAAGGGACAATGCCTGCAAGCAGTGCTAAGGGCACCAGAACGGACAAGACAGCAGATTCCCTGTCCCAGAAAGCACTGCCAAAATTCCCCTCCTAAAGGCTGCCAAGAAGCGAGCCGACTTCCAATCCTTGCAGAAAGCACCCTTCTCTGCCCCAAGGTGCTGCTGTGCGACTTGAGAAGTGCCACCAACTCTCCCCATAGGTCTTAAAGAGCTGCTGTGAACAGGAGCAGTGCTACATCACCCTGCCATGCCTACACGAGTATGTAGCACTGCATTTAAAACCAAGAAAGCCACCACTCAACCACTTTTCTTGTTGCAGCACATTGTTTTCAAGTCGAACTACGAGACTCTGGAGGGTGGAGGGCTGATGGCTAAAGTAGACCGCTGCTTCCCAAAGCTGTGGCTCACAGCCAAAGGCAGGCAAGCATGGAGCAGATGGAGTCCTGGCAAGGCCCCGACTGTCCCTGCATTAGCAGCATCTGCTCATTACCCAGAACCCTCGCCTGCTTTATCTAATGCTCCAGGAAAAGCATTTTGATTTGATTCATTTCAGTTCGGTAACGTGCAACACAATTAGTGGTAAAATCAAACTGGAGGGCTGCCAGTGCTGACAATAGGAAACAAGGCAGAAGAAATATGAGGCCAGTGGGTTGGAATTCAAAAATCACAACTGTGGATCGAGTTGCCAAGTCCCACTGCCCCAGGTGTACATGCAGTACCCCCACCGAGCACTGGCACGAGCAGAAGGAACTTCATTTTCTCCCTGTACTTTTTTCCTCTCCTTTCCCTCTCCCTGCAGCTTGTTCCACAGAGGCCAACACTGTCGGAAACATTCACCGAAAGCCACAATTCAATTTTTCTTTAGTGCCATCACAGAGACGCAATTCACTTCGGATGCAGGCATCCTGGTAAGACAGCCTTTCCTCGCTGCACCTCGCATGCCTTGGGAAGCGCTCTCTCCTGCAGAAGCGCAGAGCAGCGCTGCGAGGCAGGCATGGTGCGAGCAGGATCTGCCTGTTAGCTCTTCCCTGTGATCAGGTGCCAAGGACATCGCTGCGTGAGCTCTGTTGAACTGGGAGAAACTGATGTTATCTGCACAAGTCTGCTAGCCAGGGATTCGACAGAGAAGTCTAGACTCTCTCTGCCTGACAGCACTACCTCCAACACTAGCAGATGGTTTCTCTCCGTTAGTCAAACTTACAAACAAAGAGAAAAGGGAGCTGGAAGAGTACAACAAAGAACAATCAAACACATTATCTTCAAAGTCATTTCCGCCCCCCCCAACCCCCTCCTCCCAAGTTTAAAATAATTCTCTCCATCAAACTGTAAATATGTGCTTTCAGATTCGAGTTGGTAAACATTTCTAAAAACAGTATTTATAATTCCCTGTTCACATAGAAACTAATCTATTCTGACCAGGATTCTCAAATCAGAGTAACTGCCATATCACAGAGCCCATTAAAATTTCCACCCAAAAGAATACGACGCTGAGCTTTATGCAAACTAGTGCAGTCACAGCACACACAGGGCCGACAACAAGGAATCTGACAGGAAAAAAACCTGGAAAGATTATTAGATTAGTCAGTGGGAGACTAGAAAGCAAACAAAAGAGCCTCTGGTATATTCACTGTTTGGCACACTGGACAAAAAAGTCAACAGTTAAAACCATCACTGTTATAATTTCCTATGACTTGAGTAAATAGCAGTCATGTTTTGTAATACCAGACTCACTGTTGTCATAAAACATTGCCTATCAATTTTTAGCCATGGAAAATGGAAACAGCACAATCCAGATTAGAAAAACCACTAAAAATGTTCATCATTTTTAACACTTACTTTCAGATACAAAGCATATAATTTACTTATAAAATAAAAGGATTAGCTATTTTGTTTGGATTACCCATCTCTGGCTTTGCTTCCACACTCAAAGTGCCAGGATCAGAGATGATACACATACAGCACTCCTTAACTTAAAAAGAAACAGTCAAAAAAATCCTCTTTATTCATACTCGAGGAGAAGTTTAAGTACCAAATCACACAGTCTACAGAAAGCTGCCAGGAGCTGAGTCCTGCCTGGGTTCTTCAACTTAGGACCCCAAGTGTCAAGCACTGTTCAAACCCAGGCTTTTTAATTGCTATTCCCATGTCCAATAGATGCATAGTTGGTCCCTGGCTCTTGACAGCCATTATATTTAAGCACATTTAAAACAATGTGTATAAAGCAGGATTTCATTAGTTTCATTAAATATTAGGGCACAGTTTTCATTTCTCTATATCAAAGTATGAAAGTCAATAATGCAAACCAATACTTCAGCTACGTCCCTGTGTAGCACACGGATGCACAAGGGAGCATGCAGCCTCATCAGACATGCAAGTTTACCACTATTCCCATTACAAAGCCTCACAGTACCCTCAGGGAGTTTTGGACAGAGGAGAATGGCAGTGGAAGAATATTTAATATTTTTTATAGCAAAACAAGTTATTTGCTTAAGATAGTTTGGCTGGACTTCAGCCTGGCACTCAAGCTTTGTGTAGCAGTTCCAGTAGGAATTAAACATCAGTTTTAATGGGTGCTATGTTCCAATGCCTCCTAATGCATTTAGGGTTATTGGCCAACTTTCTCACATAAAAGCAAGAGTGTGCGTGTGTGTATATACAGGATTACGGGCACACAAAAAGCTGAGCACAGCTGCTTCATTTTTATAAAGCTTTTTTTTTTTCCTCCCCTAAATAGGGAGGAGAGTTGTGGTTACTTACCATCCTCGTAAGCTGCTACAGCCAGAGAGCTGTTTATCCTCACAAAGGAGACATGTGGCTGAGGTCCAGCATCACCAGGACCCTGCACTGGTTCCAGGATGGGGGCTGTGTAGTCCCAGGTGCGCGTGTCCCACAACCTCACTTCCCCCGATGTGTATCTGGAAAAGAAAGCTTTTATTCGTTCCAAAAACATCTGAAAAGAGGTAGCTGCAAGGGAACAGAGCAAGAATGAGAAGGTCTGAAAACCCGATGCCGTTCGTTCACAGTTCCTGGACGGATTCTCCCCACATCAAATCCCACCAACTTTGTTCATTTTATTCCCATTTACTGAATGCAGCAGCAAGTCTACTAACACAGGCAAGCTGGGGCTTTGGGGACACCACTGGGCTACCATGGGTTACCAACTATCGGGGCTAGCTTTACAGATAAAATGCAAGAGGAGCAGGGCTCCAGGAAAAATAAACTTATCAGCAATGAGTGTCAATTACATCACAGCAAAACTTCAATCTGTTTCCTTCTGGTCTTTAAAAACGTGGTGGTGGTGCCAGAGAAAGGCTGTTTAATCAGAGTATTTATGTACACACGTACAAGCATTCACACACATCCATCCATCCAACCTGCCGCCCTGTAGAGAAATAAGCTTCCTAATGCCTCATCAACACATCCGAGTTGCCTACATCTCTGAAGACTAATTAATTTATTCACAGGATTAAGTGCTGTCTTTAGAATTAGAGCAGTGCTTCCTTCCTCGCAGAAGACTCTCTTACACTGTAGTTTTTCTGATGTTTTGCTAACACCAGACACACTACAGTTTGCAAAAGAGAAAAAAAATAGGAATCAGCTTCTCAAATGACACTGAATACATGTAACGGGAGGAAGGCTGTAACACAACAACACAAGAACTGTTCTGTGTCACCTCTGCTGCGCCACAATGTACTATTAATTGAAAAAAAATATCAGTCCAGCGTCTTTCAGGCAAGATTGAGAAGTAACTCTCCATACGTCTGACCAAAAATATGGTCAACTTGGAGCAGATCTACAGTTATTAAGTTTCAACAGAACTATGACAACAGTCAGTCTCAGCTGCGTTTCTCTGTCACACCTGAAACACAGATTTGTTGGAAATGAAGGCTGCTGCTCTGCCAGCTTTGTTCTATTCTGCTTTTGGGGGGAAAATCATTTCAACAGCGATTCTTAGCCCCAGAGGTGCACAGGGCAGGAACAACCCATATTTATGATGACAATAAGAAAGTATGTGTTAACAAAGGAGGCGAAGGGAGGCGCTTAACAAAGGTTCAGATGATGCTGGACAGGTGACCCAGTGCCATACACCGGTACTGCAGGTACTCCGGAGCAGAGCAGCACTTCCAACACCTCTGGTAAAAGTGTACCACTTTATACAACAAACTGGAGTGTCTGAGGAGGTGGCAGAGAACTGCTAAGCAAAGAGCAAAGCTTATCTAAGCAAACATTAATTCTCCATACTGAACTCAGAAGAGAGTCGAGTCCTTGTGACAAAACTTCTCTTCCAGTGCTGCACACCACTAAATAGAAGAAAATGAGAGAGCTGGGAGAGACAGCAATTCTCCATCCTCCTCCTTCTGCAGATAAGGTCCCAGTCCTCCTATAAACCTTGCTTTTCTTCCCCATTTACAGCAGCACTACTTGAAAATAACAATTCAAGAAAGAAGCTTCCACAAAGCAAAGCAAAAACTTCAATTTTGGACTAAACAAGCAGTCCAGGTTTGTCTACATGAAATATCTTCAGTCTGCAACACTGAAAAGCTTTTGTTTCAGATAAATTTCAAGCTTTGGGGATAACACACAAGAACGAAAGTATTCAGGACAGATAATCACATCTACCTGTTGCAGGCCCCGCTCCCTCCCTCATCAGTGACTGAGAGATGCCCAATGAAGAGCTTTCACTTTGGCACCACAAAGCTGTGCTCTCCCACCCTCAGCAAGGACTTGTTAACAGGAGAGCTTTGTAGGCGTACCTCAGGAATGCCCAAATGAGTTTACTCAGATACTACAGAGTAACAGGTAAGGAGACTGCAGTAACAGCACCCATTTCTTATCTGTGATGACAGAGAATCACAGGTTGGAGAAGACTTTCAAGATCATCAAATCCAACCACCAACCTGGCGTACAGAGTCCATCAGAATGGAGAGCCCCATGTGCCAGGAGAACCAGCCTTTGCACGTTGCTGTCCAGGCATCCCAGAAGTGCAGTGCAAGCTGACACAAGTGCCACAGGTCCACCAGGAAGAGCAGGGAGGAGGGCAGTAAGGCAGCTTCCCTCCATACCCCTCCCACCCCATTTCACTGACGTCCTTCCCAGCACAGCATGACAGCATCTCAGTCCAGTGTGACAAACCTAATGGATTTGCAGAGATGTTCCAAGATCATGCTGGAAACCCAAGAAGAGGTCCAGGTTTGGGCATGGAGTCAAAATGGAGAAATGGGAGACATAAACTATCTCTCACTCTGCTGGCCAGCACTGCCACATGCCTGTTTCCAGCACCACTGGGCCTGTACCAGAACTGAACTGGAAGAGTTTCAAATACAGATGAATCCAATTCAGAACTAAAAAATTTAATGGTTCAACTCCCTGCTTATAATGCTGTTGTAAAGAGCAACACACTTTCAATTTGTAACCACAACAAAAGGCTTTTAAACTATTAAAGCAATGCCTTGCTGTAAAAAAATAAAAAGGCTACTTTATTGCAGATAATTGGCAAATCTGCCATATCAATATAGATGGCTAGGGAAAAGAAAGCTGCTGCATTGCACAGAAACTACTCCTACATAATTTCTGTATTTCTATTCATTTCCTACCACAACAATCTTTTTTTTGCCATGAAAATTTTCCCTGATTACTAGATACCAAATGAAAGATTCCCAGATTTAAGTCTTCTGTTTCAGGACATCAGAATACTCCAAGCTCACTGAGTTACTGATTTTTTTGCTGCAATAGCTATGAGAAGCTGCTGGAGAGAAAAAACACAAATAAAACCCACTTATCTTAATATAAATAATACCACGTATTCATTGTTATAATACCCAACAGCACTGAGCTACTGCTTTTCCCAAGACTCCCCATGCAAGTAACTCAACTTCTCCAACAGACCTGAATTTCACTTTGCTGTGGTTCTCACATTTCTAAGCATCTCAGAATATGTATGTGAGAAGTAGCAGCAGGAGGCTGAGCTGTATTTTTCTAGCTATTTTCTCTTCTTCTCCCCAGCAATCCAGTACTGTTATCTTAGGCAGATAATTACACAACCATAAAAGTGAGCCTGCAAATTCAAGTTAAGCTTTGCAGATGAATAAAATAAACTTGCTGAAATGGAGCAATAGCTGGATTGCACGTGGTGCAAAGGAATTGAAAAAATTAAATTCATATGGTATCTACATAGTATAATAAAAATGTCTGCTTGCTAATCAAAAGCATTTCAACCACTTTTACTGGCAGTAATGTCATAATAAGACGAACAGCTTCCTCATAGCCTCTCACATGAGTGAAAGCAGAAGAGTGAAGGCGAAGGAGACGGAGGCTAAAAGCTGCTGCTGCCCCACGATGGCTGGGAAGCAGGTGGTGAAGTGCTGAGCACATGTGGGAGGAGGCAAAGCTGGAGGCTGGGCACCACTCTAATGAAGTGGTGCTGAAGAGGCAGACGATTTCACAAGGAGAAAAACATCAGGAAACCGGTCAAAACACAGGGTCTCATCTGAAAAAGCTCAACTGTGTTGGATAGCAACAGCCAGAACAAATTTGGGGAAGAGGAGGAGGGGGTGCTGATCTCCCTCCAGAGCCCCAGATGTCTTTATCGTTGCCTAATGACAATTATACTCAACCAATTAAGACACTGCTATCACAGTTGCATTGTTAGTAAGCCTTTGGCCCCGAGTGTTGATGGCTGTCTAATTAGTGTTTGTGCAAAGTACAACTGCAACTAATATATAAACTGACAAATACACAAAAGAAAAACTGTTAACAGGAACGTTTTCACAACAGTAGATACGCTCCTCATTCAGTCCACAGCAGCAACAAAGACAGACCACTTTCCTTCACGGCCTACTTACTGCTGGCACTGCACAACTGCACTGAAGCGGATGGGTCAATGGGCTGCCAGGGGCTCTGCTGGCACAGGGCAGCGGTGAGGGCCCATTCTGCAGGCTGCCTGCAGCACAGCGAGCCGGGCAAGTCCTGCTGCACCCAGCTGCTCCAAACACCAAAGACTTCGGATAAGGCACTTCACAAATCAGTATCTGTTTTTCATAATTTCTCTAAAGGATTTGAGGCAAGAAAATAAAAAAGGGGAGTGAAAAACCTTTGTTTCACAGTCAGGTTTGATTTCCAGAAGGCAAAGTCTGTTCAGTTTCCAGATACCTGCGGTGATCAACAAAGCAAAACAAAAAAAAAACCCAACAACTTTGTTTCAGGCAGTCGGTGACCATCTGTTAATACTCAAAAGATCTTATTATGAAGTCCTTACAGTGTCAGTGCATTTTATTGAAGTCAGTAGGAATTTTGCTCAAGTAACACTCTCTAGCTATGGCTCTGTTTGAACGGATGCCTGATGATAAGCAAGTAAAATAATGAGTATTTTGCCTCGTCTTGCTGCAACAAGCACCTCAGACCTTTCCCCCTTATTCCACCAAAGCAACTAATCTTCACATGGTTAATTAAAGCACCTACTCAGATCCCCTCAGTAAGCTTAATAAGGTTCAATGGAGCATGTGAACCCAAGTCCAAATGCTTTTGTTAATGAGTTCCAATTGCTCCTTAAGCTGCATCTCACATAAGAACGTCATCTTTCACAGCCTTCAACTGCAAAGTCCTCTTCATCAAACATGTTGGAAGTTGCAAGATACCTCAGATGGAACACACAATCTCTGAAATTACTGAACAGATTCTACTACCATCAACATTGAGACCCACAGCTCTTCCCTGAAGAGAGGGAGGAGGATTGACTTAGTTAACTTAGTTACCAGAGCTAGAGACAGCTCACAAGAAAGGCAGGATGGAAGAGTAAGAAGCTCCTCAGCCTTCATGTGTTCTCATTTACAATTATTTACAGATATTGATTTCATCACTACATATAAAACCAGCAGAGAGCTTGGCTAAGGGACTTCTTGAGAGAAGAATTCAGGAA